TTATGGGAACAAACCACCGAGCTCAATTTTAAAACCATTTATAATACCCTCCTCCACAGCAACCAAAAACCGCCCTTATACTTTTATCAAAGTCAGAATGTTTTACACGTTTAGTATTTGGGTGTGTGAATCTGGTTGATTTCAATGAAGTCATTAACTCAAGTAAGACTTTTAAAAGTATTACTTAGAATACTGAAAAACAGCAGTACTCACCGATACTAATTTCATCATCTGTTTCAGCATCACCAATACATTCAAACTGGAAATCTTGCAGTGACTGGGAAAATTTCTGTACTGCCATAGACAGATCTGTAATTAAAAGTTTAAAAAAAAAATCATTAAGTTGAAGAATACTCAAGAGTTTCCATGGGTAATATGTAATGTTGACATTAATACTACATTAACCAGAACCCTTTTAAAATACCAGCCTGACAAATTTAGGCATAATTTAAAGAGATTACTAAAGAAATGTTTTAGGAATCAGGTATCCTCTGCTTGCAAAGGGAATTTACCCCTTTAAGAAAGTTTTGGTGCCAGCTGTGTATTATCTGGAAGCAAATTTCCCAAAGCCTTTATCAAAGAATTACGATTCACTCCCTATAAATGGAGCACTTATTTAAAAAAGAAAAAAAAAAAAGGAATGCTACTGAGGTTGTTGGGGGGGGGGGGAAGTGAACCTTTGATTAGAAAGGTCATCACTGTTAACCTACCCAGACTGTGGAGCAGATAGGAAATGTGTTTTTATCAATAAACACACTCTCCGTCCCAAGGTGAATGGCCACCTGAAAAGCTGTTACCAGTAACCTTGTGATTTCTGGGAGACTTTAAGCTAAACATGACTTCAGTCTGAACAAAGTCCAGAGTGTGACTAAATCCGGAAGAAGAATTCTTTATTTGTCAAGAGAATAAAGAAAAGCCCAGAATAATGAGAAGTGAATCCCTGGGAGGCAAAAGCCTAGGATGCAACCTAACAGTGATTAAGAACAAGGCAGCCCTGGAGCCAGGCGGCCTGCGTGGAAATCCAGGCCCTGCCAGTGACTCATTATGTGAGCATGGGCACAGGTTTTAACTCCTCTGGGCCTCTGTTTCCTCGTCTGCAAAGGCTGAGTAACAAGAGCGTAACCACCTTGCAGAGTTGTCTTGAAGATTAACTAAATTAACGTTTGCAAAGCGTGTAGATCAGAGCCTGGCACTTAAGCATTATTTAGGTTTGTTAAAGAAAATTAAAAATAAATCAAGCTGACAGTGCCACACTTGAAGCTTCAAAAGGTCCCACCTCTCGGGGCTACTGTGATTGTCCAAGCCAACCCTTCGTGGAAGTCTGCGCCAGGAGGAAAACGTATTTTCCTGGCAGTCACGTTACACTTCATTTAGTATTATCTCCCATGGGTTCAAGTCTGATAACTTGAATGCTTAACTTTTTTTTTTAATTGAAATCTAGTCAGTTTACAAAGTTGTGTCAACTTCTGGCGTACAGCATGTTTCAGTCATACATGAATATACATACATTTCTTTTCATATTCTGTTTCATTATAGGTCACTACAAGATACTGAGTCTAGTTCCCTGTGCTCTGCAGTAGGGCCTTGTTGTTAATCTATTTTATACATAGTAATTAGTATGCAAATCTCAAACTCCCCATTTATCCCTTACCATCCCCTTTCCCCCTGGTAACCATAAGTTTGTTCTCTATGTCTATGAGTCTGTTTCTCTTTTATAAATAAGTTCATTTATGTTCTTTTTTTTTAAGATTCCACATATAAGTGATATCATATGGTATTTTTCTTTCTCTTTCTGGCTTACTTCACTTGGAATGAATCTTTAGGTCCGTCCATGTTGCTGCAAATGGCATTATTTTATTCTATTTTATGGCTGAGTAATAATTCCATTGTATAAATATACCACAACTTCTTTATCCAGTCATCTGTCGTTGAATGCTTAACATTTAATTCAGGCCATAAGATCTGACAAGGACTCTCCTGGACCAATCCTTAGTCAGGTTCTCTGAGCCCTCTTCTTGACTAGGCCTCTACCGTGACCCCCTGCCCTCAGTAGGCTTACAGAGCTCAGTGTTAGCAAAAATTCTGCCACGTTAGCTTGCAGAGAATCCCCTACCCTGAATATCTGATAGAATTCCTCACCCTCCACCTTTGATGCTTAAGTCCTTGGCCTACCTTCACCAAGATTCCTCCTACCTTGGGGTCTCCTCTT